ATATATACATATATATGTATATATACATATATATACATATATACATATATACATATATATATACATATATACACACATATATATATATTTTAAGTTCCTCGTCCTTGTCTTGAACTATAAAATAATGGAGACAGCTTCAGTTCTACTGATACTGTATTTAGAGCCATTGAATTGTATTAAATCAAAACCTCATGGTCATGTAACCTTTCATGTATTTGACAACACAAGTTTGACGGAGTACAAAAAAAATGGGTGGAAATTGTTTTTTCGGCTAAATCTAAATAAAAAAACAACAACAAAAAAAACCTAATAAATATGTGTTTGAATCCCTCAAGGCAGACACTAAAAAGAAGTTTAAATTAGAGCCTTGTATAATGTTCACTGCATGGAATATGTATTTGGTTTGCTTTCAGACAGCAAGGTTAACTCGACACAAAGCACGTACTAAAATATTTTTTTCCTACTGAAATGTACGTAAGAGCTGATTCATCAAAGCTCAGATTTGGAACGAGTAAAAAGCCCACCAACAAGACGGCCTGTTAAGCCAGATACAATATTGATCTGGTCTTTATGACTCTTTTTTGGTCCACTGACAAGCACAAATCAGTCGTTTGTAAAAGGCTACAGTGGTATGTTGACCTGTAATGAAGCTATAGTCTGCTTTGTTTCAATGTACTTAATAATTTATTTAATTTACTGGGGGGGGGAAACACTAGTATTTAAACTGAAATCTACTACCTGTTCCAGTGGAAAAAAAGAAAAATTTTTTTTTACAGTGCACTTAACATAAGAAACAGAGCAAATGAATTGCATCCAGCAGGGAATAGGGACATTAGTCTCTTTAGTAACCCAGAAAATAATGATTTGCTGTAGGGGGTGGGGGGGGGGGGGGGAGGGGGGGGGGGGGCAGATGTGGACCTTTTTAAACAAATTTATACAAATTATATAATTCATTTATATTATCATTATACTTCTACTACTATTACTTTCCCAATAGATGGTGTATAAAAATGATTTTAAAATGATTTATCTTAGTTAGTTAGCCCGTCTGTTTAATTTTAGGACAATTGTGGCCCACACGTCAACATGTTTGCCCACACCTGGGCTACGTCCTCAGGTTGATGAGAATCTTTTGGATAAAAGATTTGATGTGGGTGACATGATGGAGTTCCTATTCTTTTTTTTTTTTTAGGCAGGGTTGGCTGAGTAGACGGAGGTGAACTGTGAGCACAGAGAGCAGCATCAGTAGTTTTGCCAAATGGTTTATTAATGCGGTTAGCAGGAAACAATGGGCAGCAATGCGAGGGGCTGGTTTGGGTCCACGCACAAGGGCCTGCTGTGACTAAATGTTCAGCCTGCTAATGGCAGCCTCATTAATTCAGGGGTCCGGGGGCCAAGGAGCCAGAGCTTGACACCTGCCATCACTAAGGCCTAATGCCTGCAACTGAATAAATGGCAGGCTAAGCAAATAGAGATAAATGAAAACTTGCACACCAGCAGTACATGCTGAGGATAAACTTCAGCTGTCGAAACATGATGGTGATGATTAATGACCTTGCTGCTCCAGCTCCACGCAGTGACATGAATACAAGTAAATACAAAGAGGAGTTTCTTAGATTACTTGCAAGGAACTTATAGCCCGAGACAGCTGTAAAACCACACTTAGTAAATACAACTTGTTTGCTTCCACAACCGCAGATTACACATATTGAGGCCTCTAGTGCTGATAACAGTGTAGTTTCAGGAAGAGGACTAGTACAAGTGTATGAGAAACATCAGATGTTGCAATGTAAAATAAAACATTGTTTCTTGTTTCATCCAAATGAGATGTGACAGATTAAAACCTGAGTGAAGAAGAGCGTAAATGCATTTTTGAAAAGTGTGGTAAAATTCAGAGGTGGGTCCAAGTCATTGTCTTTGCAAGTCACAAGCAAGTCTCAAGTCTTTGCACTCAAGTCCGAGTCGAGCCTCAAGTCCAAATAGGCAAAGTCCGAGTCGAATCCAAGTCAAGACTGAAAAGCGTCAAGTCAAGTCCCAAGTCCTGCCGTTTCTGTTTCGAGTCCTTTCGAGTCCTTCCACCCACTGCCACTCGTTTTTTTGTTGACCATCTCGTAGTTTTTAAATCCGAACAACGCGATCTTTGGTATCATTTTCTCTAACCCGCGCATTGTTCGACAGCTCTTTCTCATTGGTTGTCCCGCAATTTGATTGGCCAACGTTTTATTTGATTGGATGTTGTGCCGACAGCACATACGTACACAATGAGAGATACAGAGCGCTCCTTAATAACTTACTTCGGGTTTCGGACAAAAGTCTCAAGTCTTGTCGAGTCAAAGGGCTCGAGTCCAAGTGAAGTCACGAGTCATTGACGTTAAAGTCCAAGTCGAGTTCCAAGTCTCTTTACATTTTGTCAAGTCGAGTCTAAGGTCATCAAATTGATGACTCGAGTCTGACTCGAGTCCAAGTCATGAGACTCGAGTCCACACCTCTGGTATATTTATACGAAGCATTCACTGAGTTTGTCGTGATGTATGTGCATCACGGCCAACTTTAAAGAGCTCCAGTAATTCCCGCCGACTTCCTCGTACCAATTAATTACTGACATGATAATTTTATCTCAGGCTCTAAAAATATGTTTCCTAATAAAATGGATCGGATTTGTTTACTAAAAAAAAAAAATCTGTTGAACTGCAGCCATTATGATTGGATAGATTTTTATACAAAACATTTATGGAAAGCTAGATTAATTATATAAATGCACTGTTTAGTCACTTAGGGAAATTAAACTGTGTTATTTTTTGGACACAGAATGGGAGCACGGCCACTTTTACTTTAATAGAAAAATAAAATATTGTGGCCGGAAGCAGTTAAATTTTTTTTTTTCTTGTATAAAGAGACTGATAGTTAACCATTGAGACACCAGCAAATAGCAATCAAGCAATGTCTGTGTCAGGCAAATTGACTAATCAATTAAATGGGAAATGGATTACACAATACAAAAACAACAGAATCTAGAGTGAAAAAAAATAGTTTTTTTTAAGGGGACACAATTTACGTCTTGCCATTCATATCAGTTCAAAAGCAGCCGTTACTACTAAACTACCATGTTTTCCGGAATATAAGTCGCACATTTTTCTACCTTTGGCTGGGTTGCGACACTGAAAATGGATGTGATATTTGATATTTATACACTGACAGCCGCTAGAGGGCACTCTAGGCTTGTGTACCAGCATCTGCTAATCCTGTACCACTGACAGCAGCTTGCTGGTGCAACTTATATATGTTTTTTTTTTCTTCTCCATTATGAATTTTTTTGGCTGGTGCGACTTATACTCCGAAGCCACTTATAGTCCGGAAAATATGGCATGCAAGATTAGTTTGATAGCATTTTACAGTTAACTTGGGACCAAACAAGTTAAAAGGTCTAATACAGTGGTGTCAAACTCATTTTCATGGAATGGAGTTCCCCTAAAAGGGTGGGTTAAATGGAAGACTGTATAGATGAAACTCCTCCATAACTTACTAATAAATGTTTCTGCAATGGATTATTATTTATTCATAAGTTACAAATATTGTTCAATGCTGTGTAATAATGTTTTTTTTATTATTCATCAGGTTAAGAAACTATAACTTTTACTAACTCTGCTGCATGTTAAGAAACTATAACTTTTACTAACTCTTTCATAACTCATGACTTTCATGACTTTCATAAACGCTTCTTAAGGTCCTGCGGGCCATGCAAAAACGACTTGGCGGGCTGCATTTTGGCCCCGGACCTTGAGTTTTGACACATGGAACCTAAAACACTAGAGGAAGGAAGCATGAGTGATAAAAGTGTTTCTGGAATGGAACCTAAAACACTAGAGGAAGGAAGGTTGTACAGTCAGCAAGCAAGAGTGATAAAAGTGTTTCTGGAATCCATTAAACAAGTTTGAAGTAGGAATCCCGCTGCTGCAATTCAAAGAAAGACACAATGCAATAGTCATGAATTACAAATGTCAAATCAAAACACTAACATACACAACCCCGTTGCACACACATTACGGGGGTAATACAACTTTTCAAAACGTTTGACTAAAGAATAGAAACTGCGGTTAGAAAACCTGCATGTAAAATTTACGTGTGAAAAATATGAATGTGTGAAAGATATTCTATCTATATCTCGTCTGTCGGCCGCTCTCTCATTCACCTCGCTCTGCGTCGCCATTTTACAACTCTACTGTACATATCATGGCGTGGGAAATTGTAATACAGTCTAGGGAGGGTTGATAACACTATGGAGGAGGTTCGTAAAGGGTAAATAATATAATAATTACCTCACCTCTACTTCGTGTTTCTACCACGATAGGCGAGGGATCACTGTATACACAGTATATAGAAATTGGGTTACGACACGCATGTCGGCTCATAAATCCAATGCGACAGTTTTTGGAAATCAAACTGATTTGTGACTGGCCCGACATCCCACAGCCCTGGGAGAAGAGAAGGGAAAGATGGTTGCTTTTGATCTCAGTCGGGACTTGGATGTGAAAATCGGCCAAGTTGTCCAGCTGCACCCACTGTTAGTTCTGCCTGCAAACAACTATGGGCCACAGGCCACTTCCTGCTACTAGAGTCATCCCACCCTAGGCATCCGCACTTTTCTTCTGTAGCCCGCTGTCTCTTCACACACACACCTCTCCTCTCTCCTCTCTCCTCCTCCGACAGTCTTTGCATTTCACAGTCATCGTCGCCACAGTCTGTTGATAAATAGTGCAGCTGCTCTGGCCTTGCCTTTGACAGCAACCTGTTCAAGCTCACAAGCTCGTAACTTTTATTTACCGTGCTGCGCGGTCTAACACACAGGAAGGATGGGGGTCAAGGATAAGTAGGAGCCTCCTATGCACTAGAGTTGTATAGCAGAAAGAACACATGTTGCGTAAATAAATGAAATACACGTGTGGCATTTTATCACAACAAAGAATTAAAACATTATGGACGGCTTAAACGTATGCGAGTTCTGTAAATATCACCAGTTTGGGATCAATTTTCAGGTCAGGTCAGGTCAGATTAGCTAAACTAAATATACTTAGCTACACCTTTGGAGTTAAACAGTTGCAATATAAGCACATAATCAAACGGACTTTTAGAGTTTCATGAGAAAATTGTGATCGATTGCTGATTTGATACCCTTTTGTTTATTTGATAATTGTCCATTTTGGACTGCAGGTTCAAAGCAATAGCTGATAATAATAATGTGTTTGGTGTAATTAAAATACGCTGCATATGTCGAAGGATAGTCTTTTTTAGTGAACAAAAAAATAAAAATCATTATAGCAGAATAATCACTGTGTACTGAAAATCCCCAAAATAGAATACAGTGTTTGTCAGAAAAAAAGGCAACTTAGTTCTATTTGTTCTTTGTGGTGTTTGGAGTTCTACTTAAAATAAGAGAGCAGAGATCAAATGTAAATGATGGCTGTACCATGTCACGCGCTCTCATAGGAGAGGCGACGTACGCTTGCACTTACACTCTGATCTCCTGGGGTTGGCTGATTACTGTGATTCGGAAAATTCTGGTCTTGATGAGTGGGAGCTTTTTGCAGAACAAAAAAAAAAAAAAAATCTGCTGCAAAAATGGGTCAGGCTTTGGACAAGCTGCTACTCAGTAGGGGGGGCGGCAGGGGCAGAGGGAAAAGTAGGTGTAGTTTCGTGATGATGGAACATGCAGTGATGACGACGTGTATGGTCTGCTATCAATATGTGTGGAGTCGAACGGACAATGTAAAAGCATGGATTTGCGAAGGAATGACCGGAAACTTAATTGTACATACATTTCATTTCAGAAATGGACTCAAAAATAAATCAGATTACCTGGTATCAACAACCTTAGTTAGCAAAAAATGTTTTTCATACATTATCGATCCTGGTTCATACTGCTCACTTGAAATGTTATAACCAGCTAAACAACCTTAAATTTAAGGGTATGGTTTCACTGGAAAATTTTAAAAGGACTCTTCAAGCTAACAAAAATATTTTTGCGCTATCGTTTTTAAGCGCCAGCGGTCGATTTACAGAGCAGGGACGTAACAATACATCGCGAATCGATTAGAAATCGATACAAAAAAAAAAAAAAGTCAGTTGAGACTACACACTACCCTAGCAAAGTAGTTTAAACTTTTAAAACAAGACATCAGGTTCTGTTTGTAGCCAAAGTGGCATTCGGGTGTTCAGAGAAAATATGGGAAGAAGTTCTTTCACAGAAGAAAAAAAAAAAAGGTTTTAATGTGTTTCTGTAAAGAAAGAATGTCTTTTCAGTTAATTTATTTATTGAAGTTTTTTTTATATTAGGTTGTTGTATATATAATATACAGACAGACTGAGGTTATAAATACAGTAAAAATCACCATAAACAACGTGTAAATAAAGATTAGGTAAACGACATATTTTCTCAACGCAAATTTATTTCACGCGCTCCGTTTAACAACACTGAGTTCATTTTAAGTTTGTGAAGACATTCATGAAAGTGATTTGCAGTAAATGCGCAATAAGGGTTTTTTGACGTGTTGGTAGAAACTATAGAATTTTTTTGTAGAAACTGGAATGGAATGGAATGTTTAGGTCTATGCGTACTGGTCGAAAGCACTACTTACATTTCTGAGGTCCAGTGTTCATCTGCGTGTGGGGGAGAAGCTGGAGGGGGAGGTCACCTGGCACCGGCAGACAGGCCAGCATTTCACTGCAACACTAATGTAACATGGGATGTATACCACTCCACACACTGTAGGGAGAAACAGAGAGGGGCCTGAGGTCAGTAGTCAGACATGACTGCAGGACAACAGATGAGGCAGATCCCCCAGAGGCGGAGGGCTGAGGAAGACCCAGTTGCCTTTCAATTTAGAAACTATTTCATACCTGCAGCACCAGGTAAGGTGACATTTTATGCCAATAACGACTTCAATTCGACATCAAACAGCCAAGGTAAAACCACCAGACTGGGCCCAAGGGGGGCTAGTACCTTTAAAGCACCACCTCCTCCTCCTTCCTGGCTCTGTGTAATAGTTAGCCAGCCTAGTCTTGCTACTTGTCCTTTACCTTTGCCGGCTTTGCCAGACCTTGATGGAGGACTTAGGTTAATGACTCCTGTACACTTAAGAAGAACACAGTCACGATGCCTGGAGCTGACAAGTTAGCGGGGCTCGGAAATTACACGGCAGTCTGTTACTTCCCATGAGGCCTTTTTCATTTCGAGGGGCTACACACAACGGAGCCGTTTCCGGATGTGGGACTACACGAATAAATAAACGGGATTACAGCTCCAATGAATGCCTACCTCTGCTGTGCATTAACCTGATGCGAAAGAGGGAGAGAAAAGCGTTAGCCATGCTCCACTTGGCATACTGCTGCATTCGAACCGGCACGTTTGCTCGCTTAATCAGCACTGACGGAAAAAAAGTCAGGGAGCAAATTAAGTCTACCCAAGTTGGCACCCTCCCCCTTTTGAAATGAGGCGTCAGAAGAGGGTGCGCAGACAAACCAGGCATGCCAACAACCTTGGCATGCCTGTCTGTTGCAGGTTGATAGCTTAAAAGTGTCTTTTTTCCCCCCCGCCCCTCCCTCTCCAGGTGGAAGAAACAAGGAAAGAAAAAGATGACAAAGTGAAAGGTGGAAGGTTCGGGTGGTAAGGTGCCTAACTTGCTTTACAAAACAGGGGAGCTCAAAAAGGTCAGGATGACAGCTCATTTAAATCCTCCCGACGAGCAGAAAAAAACAAGGCTTAATGAAGCTGCCAGTTCTACACAAATACCTGTGGGGGCTGCTCCTAAGGGTTGCTGCACGGGGTGGAACGGGGAAAACAGTCTACAGAGGGAGGGGAGCCTTGTGGGTGGCCACAGTGTTAAGTCTTATCTAAGGAGTCTGGGGACCGGTTTTGTGCCGGTGAAGGTGCATCACTGTTGCCTCGTCTCACTCTCCTCTCACTTCTTTACAGTGTAAAGTGAAGAGAAAAAAAATAAATAATAAGACAAAAAAAAAAAAAAAAAATCGTTTGTCCACTGCAGGTTTAAATGCCCTGCATTCTGAATCAATTTTTCTCTTACCTGATCTTTTCGCCATTATTCCGTTCTCTCTTTGAGAAGGGCGTGTTTAGGTGTTTTTTTTTTTTTTCTGGGGGGGTTGCCAGATCGCAGAAGGGTGGAACAGATATGTCACGCTATATGCGTGTATGAAATAGTTACTAACCATCCATCCATCCATCCATCCATCCATCCATTTTCACCCACTTATCCGTTACCGGGTCGCGGGGGCAACAGTCGCCACCCAAATCACATTGCACCGTACCAACCCTTCCTGCAGGTGGTGAGTCCACTGGAAGGTACCAACCGCCCTAACAGGGATTCGAACTTGCCCAGGAGGTGAACCCTGGGGTTCCACGCCAATGACAGAGACATTGCCTCTGGGCCAAAGCGCCACTAGTTACTAACCAATAGTTTAATAATGAAAATAGTGTATAACTAAGGAACATTTTGTTGCAAAAGACCAACTTTATTATCAAATACAAATACAGCGAACCCACGTTTATTGCGGAAAAAAAAATAATCTAAATGCTCTCTGGTATTGTTCAGGTGGGCCGGACCAAATGTGGAGGCGGGCCGTATCCGGCCCGCGGGCCGTAGTTTGGGGACCACCGCTTTACAGCGCCGGCTGCCATATGGCAGCAATCCCTGCCCTCAGTTCAGCTTGTCACCATGCATTAACTGTAATTGGCTTGATACGTTATTCTTTTCGTTCGACCTCGGTAGGATTTTAGGTACATGGTGGCCAAGATTACGCGTAGAAATCACAGCGATCTCTTAACATCAGGCAGGTCTGGCGTAAAGTTTAACGCAACATTAAACACAACTGTACTTTTTGCCTGAAGGAAAAGTGTGATTAAAAAAAAACACCTCCTTCGGTTTGTTTGTTATAAAAAACACACAAACAGACTACGGGCAGAAACTGCCGACAGCCCCTCAGCTCCATCCTGCCTCCCCCCACGGTGCCACTGAATGTCAGAGAAACTGTGCAGTGGGGGAGTGTAGAAACAAAGGTCAGCCTATGGTAATGGCCCCGGCTGACAATCTGCTTTACAGCGGCGAGCAGGCGGAGATGAAGCCTGACAGACTGAAGCTCGATGTCCGCCGACTCCCTTATCAGCTCCAGTGCCACAGCAATTTTCACACACACATCATATGCCAAGGCAGGCTTACACACCCACGCAGGCGCTTTTTTTCCGCGCATTAAACTGTGCAGGTATAGGAGGATTACACATGACGCGGTCTCCACCCGCTGAAGTCGGAGGTGACTGGCTCAGCTGTCGCATTCATCTTGCACAGCGGCCAAGCTGAGCCAGCTGGGCGGGCTTGTGATGCAGGGATTTTGTTTTTTTTTTTTTTTCTTTCTGGTGAATTGAAGCCAAAGCATCTCACACGATCAGCGCCGTGCAGACAGACACCACAGGGTTCTCAGAGCATTAGGCCCCCCCCCCCCCCACCCCC